GAATATGAAGACTCGAATCCACTTGGTAAATTTTTTTATATGATTAGCATATCTAATTGCTTAGCCTTTAAAACGAAGAATATTGTGATGTTTGGCATTACTAAGTCTCTACATTTACGGTTTAATAAATTTAAATCTTATTATCGGAATGATGTGAATAATTCTTCAAGACGCTTTTATTTTGTGTTCACAATATCATTTGAGACTACAAAATATTATTACAAATAAACTAACACATAAACGACAAATTAATTTAATTTTTGCGTGGTCAATGTGTACTTTCGTCGACACTGTCAAGAAATTGACTTAGTTGTTGTAATTTGATAACTTTAGAATACGGAGGCTCTCATAACAAATTATGAAGTTCTAATAATCGCAATTGTTGTTTTTTAGTGATTGTAATGAGGATTGTTAGAATTATTCAGAGAATTCCAATTTAGTAACTGAAATTTGCCTACTGAGCCCGATATTATTGTTGTAAATACCACCGGTGCAAAATTACTCTCACCAGAGTACCAGAGATTTTTCTATCAGCACACATGGTTAACAGTATCCGATATATATTTTGTTCTGATCTGTTTTCACAGATTCGTTTTCGTTAGCAATAAAAGCAGTCGAGCTACTTAAGTGGCTACGTCCACCATTATAGATGTAGGATAATCCGCCATAGCAATGAATAGTAGAAAAGTCTCTCTGCCTGATCCTTTCTAGAGCTTCAAACTGTTCAAATAGATTTAATATTATTTTCTATTCAATGTCATTTTAAAAATAGATATTAACTTTTAAGGTACATCGAGTAAAATTTTGTACTTATAAATGTAAATCGTTATGGCGCTGTCAACAGTACAGAATGTACAGAAGCATGTATATATAGAAAGGTTTTTGACTAATAATAATAAACCTCACTTCTCAATATATCTGCTACATACTAAAGCAACTAAGACTGGGATTTTCATAGTTTTATCAATTTATATAACAATCTGCTTTCGTCAATTAATACCAATCATTATTTTATAAAAAGATATGCCTCTATAGGTCATTCCACTACTTGATTGTTCTACAAAATATATACTATATCACTCTTCAGTTCTTTATAAAAAATGTCAACTTTTAGAACATTTCTACCTAGAGTTGGTAGCACTTTGTAGTATTAGGTGCTTATATCTTTATTTTCTGCATGTTTTCTGTTATGATACATTTAACAAAAGCGATATTTCTTTCCGATTCGATAATTTTTCTAACAAACTACTCCGATTTGTTTAATTAAATTATGTTTAATTAATTTGCGTAAAATATTAATACATATATAAAAAATATGCAACTGCTAAAAAATAACTGTTTCAGTTGTTTTCTCACTTATAGAGATGTTGTGAACAATGGTAAATTAGAACAACAAAATTTTTTTTAGTTTATTTTTATTAAATTGAATGTTGGGCTTACCATACAGCTGTTTCGAGTATTGCCAAATACTCAAATATTTTTTCATTTATAAAATATTTTAGGTATTTTATTTCTAACTTATAAAGAAACCATAAATCTTATTGTTTTAATGTACCAGTTTTAATTTTAGTATATATTTTTCGTTCAGTACTAATAATTTATTGAAATACAAACGAAAGCTTTTATATAGCATTCCAATACATAGCCTAAAAAATAGAGTTAACAGAGCTGACATTAATTTGTGTACATCTATTAGAATATAATATCAAAGCTAATTGAACCAAAAAATAAACTTAAAAAGGTATTTATTTATTATTCAGTACGAAGGGTATTTTCATCATATAAAATTTAATATTTATGTACATATTTACGTCGTAAAAACATTCAGTGTGATTTGAAAATTTTGTTCATAGTTTTAACGACAAAATAGCAACGGAAGTCTAATAAATTTCCGGTTTATCATTTCCTGTCAACATTTTTTGAGTAAAGAAATTTTAAAAATAATGAATCAAACAAATGGTTTGAAATATTGTCAATTTATTTTCGTTACTAACAGTGTAAAAATCATAAGTAAATTGAACAGGAAGTTTAGTTTTTTCCTCAGTTAAGATTTTTTTTATGTTTTATAATTTTTATAGAGAAAATCTGATATTAATATATAAAGAGTACTAATAAAAGCTTTTAAATATAAGTGACTTTAACTGCTTAAATTTAAATGAGTAATTGTGTGAGGGATTTGCTTAAATTTTTAACGCTCAAGTCAGCTATTCCATTAACTCAATTGCCATCTTAGTATATTATTTTTTGAAGTAATTTATTATTCATAATTGCTGAAAAACCATTCACTTACGTTATCTCATTTCTATAAAACATTTTCGAAGTAATCATTCACAGCCAATTAAAATTTATAAACCGGCAGCCCCATCCCAACAATTAGCTTAGAAACTTGTTCCATATAAACAACCTCGTGAACATCTTTATAAAGAGTTCTCAAATATTATACGCTACTTAAGTTTAAGTGGTTTCAGAGGTGTTTAATAGTTTCGAGTATACTCTTATTATATCAAAGCAATTGATTTGTTTAGTATATGAAAGTATTTAAAACTAGACACTTATATTGACAAAGTTGTTCTACTAATTATGAAACGGGCTAATTAAAGAGTTAGTCAAAAGAAAAGAGACTGATTTTAATAGTGTAATATATGGGCAATATATCTAATATAATCATTAGTGAACTTTCGGGAGAGCACCACTTTTAATTAATGTATTATTTTAATCACAAATTAAAAATATCTCAAATATTGCTAAGAAATGACAATATGTTAAATATTATTAATAACTAAATTAAAAGTTTAATAAAATTTTTAAAGTGATTTTAAAATAAACATAATTTGTAAAAAGCGGTTGGTAATGAGGAAATTTTTAAATCCAAAAACTTTTTTAATTTTTAATCAAGTGAATTATTGATCTTCTCATAGATCAAAAGTAACTTTTAATTTCAATTCTATATAAATTGTATGTATATAATTGTATTGTATTATCATTGTATTTACATAAATCTGTATACAATGACTTAACCATAATTTGTTGGTAGCTAACAAACGAATAATTTTCGAATACAGTGAGTGCTTGCGTTTACGAGTGAATATCTGAGAACTCTAAAACAGAACATATAATTTAAATCAGTAAATAAAAAATTAAGTAGCTTATAAGCTTGTAAACTAAAAACACCATCTATATAGACATGAAAAATAAAATTATATATACTATATAGATTGGAAAATTATATTTTGGCAGTAGTTTATTGTGACATAAAAATTGACTTTAATTGAATTGATCAGAATAAAATTTCAAATTAAATTCTTAGTAATAAAAATGTTCTTTAAAATTAATTACACGAAAATATTAACAATATTCTATAAAAAAACAATTTTATTTTTATTTATTTTTATTTATTTTTATTTTTATTGTTGAAAAAAATAACCCTATTGATTTTTATCAAGCAAGAAATACCATCAACTGGCTGGTAGCAACAATATCGTCATTGTTGGTAGGAAAAATAAACTTGTAAGTACTTTGTACAATATATAGTCCAATCGCTATTTAACACTACTGTTAAAAATCAGTAAATATTTTATAAAACCTTGGCAAGTAACAGAATAATTGCTGATCTAAGCATCTGTATTTGTTTGTATACGAGAAAAATAGTTAAATAATAATTTCTGTATAAAATTGAAATATATTTACATATTTAATTTTAAATAATTTAATAGATAGAATAGATTTATTTTATGACTATAGACCTTAATCGATACTTGTGAACGGTATTTGACTTATTTTATTAAAAATTATTAATTTATTTATATTAAACGTATTTACCAGACTTAAACAAGCATTAAAAATAAATAAGTCAAAATAAATAAATAAATATTCTTCAATAAAAATGTATAATATTTCCGCAGTGTATTAGTTTCTTGTCTGAAAAGGATATACGAATTTATTTAACAACCTCAATAACCGCAAATCAGTACGCATTAAATGCAAAAAAATACATTATGTTGGGTACGTGAAGCTGGCAATACGGGCAATATGCAATTTCAATTCTGCATTGTTGTTTAATGCCTTAATATAAACCTATGGTATTCGCAGTTGGTGTGCTATGTATAATAATTTAAGTTCATAAATATTTTAATATTTTTTGCATCGAAACGTAAAAACTTCATATGAGCAGCCACCGCTTTCACATTCATGGCATACATTTTATTAAGAAAAATTCACTATTGCAAAAGCAACTTAAAATACTTATCGAATAATATTTTTATATATAAACAAATATAAAAAATAACTCTTATTATAAAACTGAAGGAGAATTTATACAAACTTGGGAATGTGATATAATTATAAGTTATAAAAATTTTATGTTTTATTTACTTTATGTTTTCTTAAATTCGAAACAACAAAACTTTAGCAATAACTAATAGAAGCGTAGATAACGACTTATACACAACTCTTGGTTATACTCACATATCCAGTAAATTATAAAATAGTATTAACTTTAAAGTTCAGAGCATAT